AGGGAGACCAAGGGCACGCATACGCGGATGACAGCCAATGCTCTCTCACCGAGGACCGGGAAGACTCGGGAGCTTTTCGGGTCCGGTGTGTTTGGGGGCCCCTCCGGGAGGGGCGAGGCCCTTTTTCTTTGGGCTTTCCTCGTGAGGGGCTCTTTCCGGGCGTCGGCCAACTGCGAAGGGAGGCATTTCGCGGCGGCGGGTGAGAGGCACCGACGTGCCGAGAGGCCCTCGACACGCGCTCCGACTGAGCCCCGGGCAAGGCCGCCACCAGCACGGGGGCCGGGTTGCGTGGGGGCGGGCTTCCCTCGCCCCCCCCCCCCCCCCGTCGCGGGCTCCTCCTCCGACGCGCCGATCGACGGCCAGCATCTGCGCACCTCGCAGCGCATGGTCGAGCGCGAGCTGGCCCAGGTGAATACCTTCACCCAAACCGCGGCCAAGTCCATCGCGCTGCTCTTTGGCCCGAGCAAGCAGGGCGAGGGCCGGCGTCTGGGCGCCGCGGGCTCCGGCACCGAGGCCAGCCAGGACAAGGAGCTGGTCCTGGCCCGGAAGCGCATCGCCATCGCCGTGGACCGGCTGCGCACCATCCGCCGGCGAATCGACGACTTTGAACACCGCGGCGATGCCGCCGGCACGATGGCCGACCTCCTGCGCCGGGTGGAGTTCCTGATGGCCGGCCACCGTCTGGCCAGCGGGGCCGCCGCCAGCCCGGACGACTCGTCCAGCATCCTGATGGGCGGCTCGGAGGCGCGCATGCACATCGACTCGGAGCCCCCGGGCTCCGGGGATCCGAACGCCGGTGGGCCCCGCGCGAAGACCTTTGTCCATCGCGCACCGGCCTACTTCGGCACGCTCTCCTGGGAGGAGTGGCATAGCAAGCGCGTGCAGCGTCTCGTGGTGGACTGGCTGCTGCGCGAAGGGTGCGCCAGTGGTGGGGCCCTTGCTTTTTTTTTCCTTCGCCATCCATCCGCCTTGCGCATGTGTGCCGGTGCGCGGCCATGCGCCTGCGGGCAGGGCAGGGCAGGGGGGCGGGGGCTGGCGCGGGCGCGGGCGCGGGAGAAAGGGCTGCCCCAGCGGTGGTGGGGCCCCTGGATTGTGGCGACGGCCTGTGTGCTCCTTTTCCTCCGAGGGGAGGGGGGGGCGGCCTTCGAGCTGGGGCCCCTCCTCCGAAGTGCCATGGGGCCTCGGTCGCACGCACCTGCACGGGGGCAGTGGCGCCATCGGGCTCTTTGTCGTGGGAGAGGGCTGGAAGGTGACACTGTCGCACACGCATGCACGCACGCACGCACGCACGCACGCTAATCGCTGCCGATGCGCGCGTGACACCCAGATTCAAGAAGACCGCGTACGCCATCCTGGATTACCCGGCCGGCGCGGCCGACGGCGAGGCGGTCCCGGAGACCGAGCCCGCGCGTGGGGACCGTGCCGCTTCCACCCCCCGGCGCAGTGCCCCGGGCCCGGTGGCCGAGGCGGCCGAGGGCAGCCCCCGGTCCTCGGCATCCTCGGGATCGGTGCACTCGTCGGAGCACGGGGACACCTCGACCGACAGTCTCATGGGGTTCCCCGGGCCCGACGAGGGCCGGCGCCTGCTGGAGAGCGCCTGCCTGGAGTCCCTGTGCGATGTGTCCCTCCTGTCGTCGGTGCGGCAGATTGAGAATGACCTGGGGTTCCGGTGCCAGGCCGACAGTGCCCTCCGGTGGTGCGCGGCCAACCGGGCCCGCTTGCGGCGCGTCGGCAGCCGCATCGAGGTGCGTCGCCCGGAGGGCCAAAACGGCCCCACGGCCGGGGGAGGCTGCCGAACACCCCCCCCCCCTGGCCACGGCCCGGGTCAGGGACCGGCCGGTCGCGGGTGGCCCCCTGCATCCGAGCCCCTCGGCCTGTGGGGCGCCTTTGACTCGTCCCCCGGCGCGCGCGCGCGCGCGCGCGCTCGCAATCACCCCCAGACACACATACTCACACGCATGCGCACACACGCGGCCGCGCCGGCCGCCGTGTAGTTCGACATCCGGGCAATGGAGGTCGTGCTCATGGCCCGCGCGGGCCAGCCCCAGGAGGACATCCTGGCCTACCTCAAAAGCCAAGTCCTGCCCCTGATCCAGGCGCTGGCTGGGCCCGCGCCCGGGGCCTCGGCACACGCGGCTGCCGATGCCCCGGCATCCGGCTCGGCCACCCTGTCGACCATCCTCTACCAGGACCTGCGACATGTGCGCCCCCGCACGCCGGGCCCGCTTTCCCGCCACTCGCCTTGTGCCGACAGCCGACTGACCTGGGCCCGCCGGGCCCCCCGCGGCCGGGGGCCGACAACCGCCAAAGCTCATGCTCTGCCTCGTCATGCCGATGGGGCTCTTTGATCGGCTTCGATGGCCATCTGCCCGGTTCGGCCGGCCCCTTCGGTCGGCCCTGGCCGATGTAGCCCGACCGGTGTTCCATCACTCGCTCGATCTCGGCTGGACGGCCCTCCTGATGGAGGCCCAGGCGCCGGGCCGGGCCGGCTCGGATGGGGCCGAGGCCGCTGCGCGCCCGGCCTGGCGTGCCCTGGCTTTGGCTTTCAGCCGCGACGCCATGGCCTTCTTCTCGCCGTCGGCCTCCGGCCCGGGCGCCGGGGCGGACCCCTCCGATCCGACGGATGCCGACGGCGGCCACTCCTTCCTGGGGATTCTCCTTGGCAAGGAGAACCCCGGCCTCGGGGCGGCGGGCGCCGGCGCCGCCGGCGGTCCCGGCCCCGGCCCCGGTGCATCGGGCATCTCCACCTCCGGCGACTACTTCAAGATGGATTTCGGCCTGGCGGCCGAGCCGCTGGTGGGCATGGACGAGTCGGACTCCCTGGAAGACCTGGTCGGCCTGGGCGTGGATCCGGCCAACGGGGCCAGCCGGGGCCGGGGCCCGGCCGCCGGTGCGGCCTCCGCCCTGGCCGATGGCCTGCATGGCCTGGCGCCACTGCCGCCCGGGCTGACCACCGAGGCGCCGGAGCTGCTGGGCGCGGCGGCGGTGGCCGCTTCGGCCGCCGCCGCCGCCGCTTCGGCCGCCGCCGCCGCCGGCTGGAACGGCTCCCACCTGGTGACCATCCTCCAGGCCGGGGCCATCTGCCTGCTGTCAGACGAGTGCATCCTCGGCACGGTGCAGGACCTGCAGGCGCTCCGTGTGGAGCGCTCCCGCGCGGCCCGGCCCGGCCTCGGCAGCCTGCCGCACGCTGGCGGCGGCCATGCCGGCGATGGGGCTGCCTGCAGCCGCTTCGGCGAGGGGAGCTGCCCCATCTGCCGGTCCGACGTGCGCAGCCGCGCCTCCTTCCTCTGTCGGGTGCCGCTGCGCGCGCCGCACGACCAGACCCGTCTCGTCTGTCGGATCCTCAGCCAGCCGGGCGACCTGGCCATCTATCCCGCGCCTTTGGCCACGGAGAATGCCCTCGGGCCGGAGGAACTGCGCTCGGCCCTGCCCGACATCTCGGGCGGCGTGGCCGAGGCCGCCGCACGCCCGGTCCCCGGCGAGCTGTCCGGCCGCATGGTCCCCATGTCCGATGACAACCCCCCGATGATGCTGCCCAATGGCTGTGTCTATTCGCTACGCGGTGCGTTGTCCCCCCCGCCCTGGCCATGCGCCGCCTCGCCCGGGGGCCACTCTCCACCTGTTTCCCTCCATGCTGACCGACGGCGCTCGCCCCTTCGCCACTCCGACGCGCCCCCTCGCGCCGGCCGCCTTAGCCATGGCTCTGCAGGCCGCCGCCAGCAAAGATCGCGCCACGGTCTTCTGCCCGCGCACGCGTCAGAACTTCAAGTTGAACCAGGCCCTGCGCGTGTTCATCACATAACCCCTCCAGGACGATGGCGCGCCTCGGATTGCGCAGGCGCGGCCCGGCCCCGGCCCGGTCGCTGGCGCCGCCAGCCCATCTCATCCTGCTGCGGGCGGCCGCGGCAACCCCGGCACAGGCCCGAGGAGGAGCGGAAGAAAAATATCGACCCAGAAGAAGCAAAAAAATATACACACAAGGCACCCGACACACAAAGCTCAGCGCACACGGGACAGAGGGCCAAGCAGGCCAATGCAATGACAAGATGCCCTCCCCCCCCCCCCCCCCCCCTGCCTGCCTGCCCCCGATCGGCGGACAATCTGTCACACATATGCACACCTCCGATCGAACGCCATGCCGGCGCCCAAGGCAGCGGGACCTCGCCCCCCCCCGGCAGGCGGGACAAGACTGCTGCGTTTGGCAGCGATCACGTGGATCTCCCGACGTCTTCTGCCCGCCCGCCTCCCCCCGCGCCGCGCGCAGCCAGCCAGCCAGCCAGCAGGCAGGCAGGCCGCCGGTGGGGATGTCTCTGCGCGCAGGACCCACCGCCGGGGAGCATTGCACCAGCAACCGACATACGGTCGCCGTCTTTGCCGGCCCGCCGTTGCGCCGGGGAGATCCCCCTGCACGATCCCCCAGCCCGATCCCCCGCCCCTCCGCCCGATCCCCTGGCTTGTTCGGGGATCTGGGCCTGCGCATTGCACAACAGCCAGCCCTGTGCCGGGGGCGCGGGCCGGCCGGTAGCGCCCCCACCAATCACTCCTCCCCCCCCCCTGCCACCCGCTCGTCGGCCTCCTCTCCCTTGAGACCTCCCATCGCGTGTGTGTCTGTGTCTCGCTCTTTCTCTCTCTCCCTCTCTCTCCCTCTCTCTCCCTCTCTCTCTCCTTCTCTCTCCCTCTCTCCCTCTCTCTCTCCTTCTCTCTCCCTCTCTCTCTTTCTCTCTCCTTCTCCTTCCCCTGCCTCCCCCTTCCCCGCACTTCGGCCCCACCATGCTCGTCAAGGTCAAGGTATGCCCGGCTGTACCCCGGTCAGGGAACGCTCTGCCCGTGTTAACTCCAGCTCCCAGCAGTTCGCGCCTCTCCGATTGCCCCACTAACCTGGCCCTTTCCCATCTCTCCATTCAGCTTCTTACCGGGCGTGAGGTATGTCCTTCACACCTACTCCCGCCCGACCCCCGCCTGCATACTCACCTCCTGCATTCCGCTCCCTTGCGCCTGCCCATGACATCTTCGCCTGTCGCACATCAGCTCGAGATTGACATCGAGCCCTATGAGACCGTGCGCTATTTCCCACCCGCTCCTCCTCCGCCTCTTTCCTGCCCCCCTGTTCTCCCCTCTTGCCGTGCATTCAGCTGACGTCCAGCCACAACGGCCCCCACCAAGGGCAGATCCTCTCCATCAAGGAGCGCATCGAGGAGCGCGAGGGCGTGCCCCCTTCTCAGCAGCGGTACTGCCTCTCGATGACCCGGGGCTTGTCCTGCTCGCGCCCATACTAACCCCCGCCCCCGCCCGCCTCGCCCGCCTCGCGGACCGGCTTCTTGACGCGTGTCAGCCTGATTTTCGCTGGTCGTCAACTGTGCGAGCCTCGCTCTGCCCGGATGCCATACCGAGTGCATGCTCCCGACTAACACCTCTCCTCCCTTCTCCCCTGCCTTTCTTTGGTGGCCGTGCGCAAACAGCGAGGAGTCCCTGACCGCCTCCAGCTGCAAGATCGAGGGTGGCACTGTCTTGCATTTGGTGCTCACCCTTCGCGGTGGCCTTTGAGCCTGTGGGGCAGAGTGAGCCCCTGCCGCCAGGACGACGGGGCGGAAAATCGAACGTGGATCGCCCCCGGGCTCTGGGGCCCCCCTCCGATAGCCCACAGGCGCATGCCGGAGCCCGCATGTCCCCTCCATCTTCTGGCTACCGTCCTGGCCCACCCTTCTCCTTTTTTAATGTACAATAGCACCCACACACAGCCACTGTCGCAGCCACTGTCACTGTCAGAGCGACACACACACACACACACACATAAACACTTCTCCCCTCCTGTCACTATGCAGGAGTACTTTCCTCCGTTCCGGAATGGAATGGCCTTTCCCCATTTTGAACACCTGGTCTCCTGCCAGGGAGAAGGGACAGCAGGGGGGGGGGGGGGAGGCAGCGTGCTCCACTGCTACGTCGAACAGATAGGCTATGGTACATTTGGCCGGGCGACGGCAAACAAAGAAAAGCAGAGCGCCGCGCAAGGGGCAGCTCACAAGCAGTTCTAGTTCTGCTGGGTGTGATGCGAGGTGTAATAATCGTTGAGGCTCTTCTGCGGGTGGACAAAGGGTCGCAAGCATGATTCGCCCATGTGGAGGGTGGAACACAAGAAACAGGGCGGCAATGGTGAGTATGTGACCGAGCGGATCGTCAAACGGCAGGGATGCATGCGAGGGTCGATGGGCGAGTGGGGGGGGGGGGGGGGGGGGGGGGGGGGGGGGGGGGGGGGGGGGGGCACAGCGCACCTCGAAGGAAGACTCCAGGGCCATGACGTCGCGACGAGCCGAGGCAACCGCGCGGATGAAAGCGGCGCGCGGGCCACCCACCGAGTACATGCCGATCTCCGAGGCCGAAGCCGTGGGGGGAACCGACTGGATCTTGATCTGGACCGTGTGCTCCAGCGGATGCGGGACCTTATAGCCGCAGAAGAGCACACGCTCATCCTTCAGAGCGTACCTGAGGGTGTGCATGGCAGGCGGGCGGGCGGGCGGGCGGGCGGAAGGAAGGAAGAGACACAGACACAGAGAGGGGGAGATACAAACGGAAGGTGTCAGCTACAAAATGTACAGCCACGGGCTCGGAACGAAGGAGAAACGCACATGCGAATGAGATTCCCAAGGGTGTGATCCTCGCGGTCAAGTTCGAAGGTCCCGGCATTCGGCACCGTCGGCTCCACATGGAAGGTAACCCTGGCGAAGAGAGTTGACGGTCAGCGCGCTGACAGGCGAAAGGCGTGGATGGCAAACACGGAGCACCGGACGCGTACTTCGGAGTGTTGTCCTCATTGTAGACAAGGCTATTGGGATCCGGGGCGTTGATGCCGCGCATTTTTTCGTTCTCAACAGAGGGGCGGAGGGAAGAGGCAGCGTGGGGCGGGGGGGGGGAGGGAGGAAGGGGGATGATTCTTGCCTGCCCCGGCGTGGGACCCCGTTCGCCGTGCGCGCGCGCGCTCATAAACCCGCCCGCCCGCCCCCCCCCCCCCGGAGGATCGGCGCAAGACCAGCACCAAATGCGGGTGTGAACACAAAAGTGGGGAGTTGTGCGTTCTGATTGTTTAGATCCGCTCACATGATACGAGCAGCGGTAGCCCACAACTTGCGGGCCACCTTCTGGCCGTGGCCGGGCGCCTCTTTCTCGCGGTTGCCCCATCACAGGCGCCCCCAACTCGGGCAAGTGTACGACCCCATGTACGCTTGCGCAGCCGGGCACGCAAATGCCCACCCACGCCATCCATTTTCGGAGCATCTGGTATGCTTTTCTTGGCTCCTTTCGGTGTGTACCATGGATGATGCGCATGCACACACGGGCGGAGGGAGAGGGCGAGGGAGGGGGAGTCACCGACAGACACAAGGCGAAATACGGGCACATAGCCCCGCAGGCATGTCAAGGATCTATCATCCTCCTCGCGTTCCTGCCTTGAGGGGAAACAAGGACCCAACTATGGAGTAGGTGGGTTTTTTTGGGGGGGGGGGTTGTTTATATGAAAATAGTATACAGCGTTGACACGGGGAATATATCAGGAAAGGCGGGGGAGAGGGAGGCGGAGGCGGCATAGGTGCGTTGTGGGAGGGGGGGGGCTGGTGGTCGCTCTCTGTGCGACGGGATATAGTTCCATCTTGGGGAAAGCGACGAGGGAAGACATGTGCAGCAAACAGCGTGGGCGTGTGCCCCTCCTCTCCCCCCGAGCAGGTGGCCAGATTGACCACCACCCCCCTGCACAAGGGGGCGCAGCGCGAAGAGATCGAGGCGTTGGGACGACACTACATACTGACGAATGGGCCGAGCATGGAAACGCGAGGGGAGCAAAGAAGAGAGGGTAGGGGGGGTGGGGGGGGCCGCCCCGGGGGTCGGCTGTTGCTGAACCCCCTCCCCTGCTCACAGTGGCCCATGCTTCGGCGGTGGATCTCCCACTGTGTTCGTGAGATCCTCGGAATGCGGGTGAATCTGCGGGCTTGAGAAAGTGAAGAGGGGATCTCCTTGTCCCCAGTGCCTGGCTCCTCTCTCCTTGGACTTCCTCCTGGGGGGTGGGGGGGGGGGGGGGCACAGCCACGTTTGAAGGTTTTCGAAAACACACATATGCGCGCGCGAACACAGACACAGACACCTTCACCAATATGGGAATGCCCATCACCACACTTGCGCATGCCATCTTTCCTCCGGGTTCCGGGCAGTGAGATGAGGGGGCTCTCTTGCGCCAGCACTCTGAGTTGCCGGAAAAGGGGGGAAGTGACGGCGGTACGTCTCACATGCGCGTGTGGGTGTGGGTGGGTGTGGGTGGGTGTGGGTGGATGTGGGTGGATGTGGGTGGGTGTGGGTGGATGTGGGTGCGTGGGTGACTCCTCACAGCCGCCGAAGGCACGGAGGGGTGCGCAGCCGGGAGGAACGAAGAGAGGCACGTCGTGCGGCTCTCTTGGAGCCACCCTTGGCTTCTCACCTTCCCCCGCCCTTCGCTCTTTCCCGGGCGGGGCGGCGGAGGCGCGAGCGAGGATGCCCCCGTCGGATGAGTGACGGGATGGAACATGGGGCACCATCAGACAGCCGAGCGGACGGCCTGCTGATGTGGCATGGCCGACATGTGGCCGCCGGTGGCCGAGAGCGGGGTCTGACGTTCGGACGAATGGCCAGGACCTCCTGTCTGGAGGAGGGTCATCTCGAAGCTGTTATCGCTGTTGGCTGTTGTTTTGACAGAAGCCCAATGGACATGAGAGAGAGAGAGAGAGTCAGTACGCCGGCTGGGTAATAAGGCGGAGGAGGGGGTCATGGAACATCCACACAAGCGTGCAGCACATGCTGCCGGGACCAACCGGAAAAGTGGGGGAGAGAGAGAGAGAGAAGGAGAAGCCGGGTGCATGACGGACCGATGTTGGAGGAAAGCGGGGGAGTAGGACGGGCCTCGCCGGGGGTGGTGGACCCGACGCCACTCAGGGCCTTACGGAGCTTGTTGCGGCCAGAACCGCCAGTCGCCGCGGTGCTGGTGCCGCTTGTGCCGACGGCCGTCGTCGGGAGAGACTGCTTCTTGGGCTTGGAGTTGCGCACGAAGCCTGAGGCGTGCCATTGTTTTCGGGTCAAATAGAGAGTCAGGCATCGGGTTTTCGCAGGTCATTCCCCTGCCTCGACCGATTCCCCTGCGGGCGGGGAAAGAAGAGGGAGATACAACCATATATGAAGAGAGAGTGGGGGAGAGAGAGAGAGAGAGGGAGAGAGAGAGAGAGAGAGAGACCAAGCACGCACCCTGGTAGTACAGCGCAGCGAAGACAAACCCAGCACCAACCCACTGCCAGCCAGTCAGCGAGTGGCCGAAGAGCATGGCCGACAGGAAGAGCGAAACCACCTGACGAGTGATCATGATTGTGCTGTAGGTCAGCGCGCCGAAGAGGCGGATCGTGTGGTAGATGACCATCTGCCCGAGAGCCGCGGCAAAGGAAAGGGTCGAGGCATCGCGCAGCATGGCCGGGTACTCCGAGGCGAAGGTGAGCGCGCGGATGAGACGCCCGCCGGGGATGAGCACTGAGACCAGGGGAGACCAGATCCGGGGAAGAGGAGTGTGTCAGAGAGTGGCAACACCTTCCGCCGTGCATAAAGAGAGAGCAACACAGGGCGGCACAAGCCCCAGCCCGGGGGGGGTGGGGGTGCAGCGGAGAACAGCAACAACAGCGGCAGGGATGATGTGGGACACGCGCGGCCGGAGAGGCGGACGCACTGGCAAAGCTGATGATGGCCGAGCAGATGTTCACGTAGAGCATCTGGTTGTAGGTGGACATCGAGTGCCCGCGGAAGAGGCGCTCTTGGAAAGTCGAGGTGAACCCATCAAAGAAGAGGTACATCGACACCAGGGCCAGGCCAAGAGGCGAGTCCTGCGAGGGGGCGTTGGTAGAAGTCGAGGTGATGGCCTGTGGGGAGGGGGGGGGTCAGCCGAACCATCGCGGATGGCACCACATCTGGGGGGGGGGGGTGCCTGGAAGGGAGTGACTTTCGCGACGACAGGAAGGGCGTCTCTGTGCCCTTTCCTCTCATCGACGGGCGGGCACAACAAAGAAGACACGCACACCGGTGGTGAGGAAGATCGTGCAGCCGGTCATGACACCAAGCGACACGGCGTAGTCGCGCCAGGAGTAGTCGCGGCGGTGGACCAGCGCGCCCCAGATGAGCACCGGGATCATCTTGGCACACTTGCCCAGAGTCTGCGTGGGGAAGGTGACATACTTCAGCGCTGCGGAGAGGCGACGGGGGGGGGGGGGGG